GAACCCAGAATTTTATTTAAATAGAAAGAGGGCCTCGTTAAAACCTTGTTTTACCATGTATTTTAATAGTAGAAATGATAAAGTGTAGTGATCGAATTTATATAATGAAAAAAAAAAAAATTAATTTCAATAAGAAGTTCATGTTAAAAAATTCAAATCATAAATAATCTTTGAAGAGAAAAATAATAAATATTTTTTTTCTTTTGAGAAGATGGAGCCAAATAGTTAGTTTAAGGGATAAAGGGCAGTTTGGGGATTTCTGAAAATTTCCTTCACATTTGGCGGCTAAAAAAGATTTGGAGGATGAAATTGAAGTTCCATAGAACCCCAGGGATGAATTTGAAGTTGAGTGCAAACCTCAGGGATGATTTTGAATTTTACCCTGAAAAGGTGGCTCACATAAGCTAAGTATTTAAAAATATATGTGCACGGACAACTTTGTCCTCCAGATTGCAAGCAAGCGCCAACTGTAGGGCCCACCAACGAAGGAGACTTTTCGAAAATGGGGTTGACCTTGACCAGTTTGGAACAAGAAAGTTGACCGTGGTTAAAACGGGTTGGTTTAGTTTAAATGAAAATTAGGATTTGAAAAAAAACTTGGGTCTAGTGGAAGTCCCTCAAATTGTCCCTTATTTATTAACCTCAGTTCGATTTTGTAGATGCTACACCCAATAAAATACACTGAATGATTTTAAACTTTTAATCGATACTTAATAATATACACACTCATGTGTAAATGTGCGTAGTGAGTAGTTATTATATAGATTTATGATTCAAAATCACACGGGAAAGTATACCTCGTGTAGCATATCTCATAAACCATCGTTGAGTTTAAATGTGATTTAACATCATAAACTCAACTTGAATTAGAATACCACACTCGCTCCCATATTGTTTTAATTGATTTTGTTCACCTTTCGTATTAAGGAAAACAATTTCGGCTATGTTTTATATAATTATATTTTACTACTGAATGTAGGTTTTTTTAGTGCATCTATGAGGTTGGTTGCCGATTCATTCATTAGAAAAAAAGTAAAAAAATTAAAAACATATATTTAAATTGCTAAGAGCGGTGTTTGAGTGGTAAATATTGTTGAACAATAACATTTGTCATGATAATTGAAGATTTATAATATTTGAATAATATTATTTATGTGTTTCGATCTTATGAAAATCGAACAAGTAAGATGTTTTTGATTGAATTTGTGAGCAGCATGTTAGATGGATATAAATGTTTAAAATTATCCAATTAATTCGTAAGAGAAAAAAAAAAGTTTGATGGCCATTATTGACTTGAAGTTTATTAAATCAATTATCTGACAATATATATAATAACATAAAATATAAAGTTAAATAAATATCTTCTCCATAGCTACAAGTGAAAAATAATTTCTAATTAATTATATAGAATTATTTTTCATTTTATTTTGAGAAGGAGTTATATAGAACT